CCTGGCGCGGGGAGCACGGCAGCTGTAACAACGTTAAATCCCGGAGCCACCCTGTGACATGAAGGGTGAACCCGACAGGATGAGGCGGTCGCTGGGATTTACAGGCGTTTTAATGCATCCTGCGCTGTTTCGTGAAAGAATCACTGTCGTTCTGGCTTGAGTGGTTCAGCTTCAGGTGTATTGGGTGTCTCGATGTAGGAAAGGCTTCTGGGACTTGCACAGACACTCTGTAAGGAAGCTGCCTGCCTTCGAGTTCCTCCTTTGCAATGCGAAGGGAGGGTGGAAGGTGGGAGGAGAGACCCCTGCCCAGAGCAGCTCACCAGACTGACTTCTCAGGTCCAGAGCACATGTCTTGGCAGGAGCAGCTGAGGGAACTGGGGCTGTTTAGCCTGGAGAAAAGGAGGCTGAGGGGAGACCTTATCCCTCTCTGTACCTGCCTGACAGGAGGGTGTAGAGAGACGGGGGCTGGTTTCTTCTCCCATGTAATAAGTGATAGGGCAAGGGGAAATGACCTCAGTTAGTGCCAGGGAAGGTTTAGATTGAATGTTATGAAGAATTTCTGCACCAAAAGGGTTATCAAGCACTGGAACAGGCTGCCCAGGGAAGTGGTTGAGTCACCATCCCTGGAGGTATTCAGAAGATGAGGTGCTTAGGGACATGGTTTAGTCGTGGACCTGGCATTGATGGTTTAATGGTTGGATTCAATTATCTTAACGATCTTTTCCAACTTAAATGATTGTAATGAAATATTTTTTTCTGTTTATGCCATCAAATGGGTCGGGTACCTTTTCTACATCCTTTCTGGCTATATTGCTTTCAAATATCATCTAGAATCAATGAACAAAAGAGTTCGGGGCTGGGAATGAGGGCAGCGATTCAGGAACTTTCTAGTGCTCCTTCTGCAAATCAATATGCCAAAGTTTCTGTGATCTTTCCTAGGAAAGGTTTTTGCTGACATTTAGGTAAGCAATGTGACACTGCACTGAGTCATCAGCATTAATGAAAAAGCCATTTAGGGATTTCAGAAGGGGCTCACCAAACAAGCAAAAGCTGTGTGAATTTGCCCTGCCTTTTTTGTGATCTGCATCAACTTTCAGCACTTCTGCAAAAATCAAATAATCGGATTGTAGTTGCCAGGCAGGTTTCGTTTGGAAGGGAAAGCCACTCCAGGACTTTGCTTTGTGGGTCTGTGGTCTGGTTTTCTGTATGGGCAGGGGAAGGATTTCCACCTCATTGTGTGTTTTCACTTTGTTTCTGCTGTGAAACCCGGCAGTTGTACCATCTGCTGTGTCCACAAGCCTGGTGGGTGGGTGCCCTGCTGGGAGGGTTGGCAGGGTACCCAGAGCTCCTTGCAGAAGCCAAAAGGTTCTTGGGGTGCTAACAGCCCTTGCTTGTTTCCTGTTTTTTTTTTTACCACCAAACAGGTAAAAATACATGAAGATCTGACTTGCAGTAAAGCTCCAGTCTTGGGATTTAGGCATTGCTGCTTTTTTTTTTTTTCTATGTATATATTTTTGTGCTAGAAATGTCAGCATGCCTCTTTCATGCTAGGCTGCAACTTGACGTGGCTTTTACATCCTGAATAAGCAAAGATGTAGTGTGAAATGTGTCTAGTTTACTGGCCTGGCAACTCAAAACTCAAGGCATCTCGTGAGACCAATTTGACTGAGGATTTCTGTCAGTGATGCTTGTTGCTAGGTTTAATAAGTCTGTGATAATTTGTTTTCTTGTAGGTGTCAGCACAATTCAGGTGGAAAAAGACCATACTGAAGAAATGGTGAGTAGCTGTATGTCAAAGCAAATTTTAGAAAATACCAGTCACGTGCTCACCATGTTTTGTCTTTAAAAAGGAAACATACAAAAACCAGTCTTGTGGGTTTTTGACAGCTGTTTTGTTTTTTTTTTTTGATGGCTGAAAGTTCTCAGGGTAATGGTTTTTTTTCCCTAAAGGTAAACTCTTGAGAGATCATCAGTGATGTGTAACTTAGAGTCCTTTTAGCTGTTAGAAGATGTCTGCATGCACTTTGGTGCATTTGGTGAAAATGGAAGTTGGCTTCTTGCATCTGTGTGGTATTTTTGAAACTCTCTGTTGTACAGCTGCCTGAAAAAATGATCTGAAGTATTATTTGATAGTACCTGTTATTAGATTGCAAAAAGTGAGATGGCAACTTTGAAGGAAGATGAAATATCTACAGTTACAAACTATGTAATGGACTTGCTAATGCAATCCTCCCATCTCCTGCTTTGGAAAGGGATTCTAACCTGTTTGATTAAATAAATGCTGTTAGCTGCTCTTGGCACCCGTAACCTGACATCAAGCCTTCCTTTCATAGCGTGAAAGTATGTTTATAGTGTGATCGTTTAGATTAGTAAACACCTGGTGATAAGTAAAGCCAGTTAAAAGAAAAACGGCTCTAAGTGTTTTGTTGTCTCCTCCCATCCACCCACCCAGATTGTCAGTGTGAGACTCCCATGCTCACGACCACCAACTTTAACACTTGAAAGTAGTTTTGCATCAGTTTGTACAGAAGAGCTACTTTGGCAGTGCTTAAGATTGGAGGAGGTTGTGTGACTTGCCTAAATCAACCAGTTTCCTCTGCTTTCAGAAGACTATCCAGTTGAATGTTAAGCACCGAGAGCAGGGCTGGCAGTAAGCACACACACACACATGAAAAAGTGTGGCGCGTGTCCCTTACAGAGGATATAAAGGCATCTTTGGTTTATTGGCAATCCAAGCAATACTTCTGATAATACCTTTGTAGCATCCTCCTTTGGATGGATCCTACAGGATGATCCTAATCTTTTGAATGTGTGTTGTGCTAGTTGTCTTTTTTCATAGGGTGCTGTTCCCACGCATGTTGTTTGACTCTCCTTTGTACTGAATAGGGTACTTAATATTTCAAAAAGCTACCTATGCAAACAAAAGGAGAGATAAAAAGAGCTAACGACTATCCTCTTGCTGGTATGGGAGTGAGGAGCAAAGCACTTGTTGCCTGAATGCACAGGAAGTTGTGGTAGAACTGGGGATTACTCAAAACTCACAGATAATAGCCTGAACTCCAAGCCTAACTAACTGGCTTGTAAGTAGGATTTCCATTTTTGCTGTGAGAATTTTTTCTCCTATTTCCTTTCTAGGTAACACGGTGCATAGTGGAGGTTTTGTCCAACGTTCTATCTAGGCCAAATGCACCACCAATTAATCCTGAATGCAAAGAAATCTTGAAGAAGAGTAAGTACAACATTATCTGAACTTGTGAAAGGAATTCAGCAGATGGAGTCTGTCTTGTGTTGTTGCTGGTGAACTGTTATTTCAGCTCATGTGAAACTGGTGCCTCCGAATTTCAGGGTCAAAATTCAGATTTCCTTCTGTTTAGTCTGTCTTGCTCAAAGAGCCAACAGCCTCACCTTGGTAATTTTCAGGGATTCTTGGCTGGCAGGTGTGGCTCTCTACTTAAGCCACCCAGAGAGTCTGAGAGGACTAGGCAAGCTCTTTAGATAGCTTGAGAGGTCAACAGATGTTACTGGGTTTGAACCGTGTGCTGCAGGCATCCCAGAGGGTAGGAACTGGCTTTAGATAACTACCACTTAAACAAGCAAGACTCCTGCGCCTCGTGGCGGCAACTGAATTCATGCCCAGCTCGGGAGAGGAGAGTGCTGAAGGCTCCCTGTGGGAGTGCTGGTTTCAGGTGAGCTCGTGCCTGCAGCACGGGACTTGGCTGCCTTGACGTCAAGGTGTGAGCCTGCTTCGCTGTCGGCAGTGAAGTGTGTTAAGTTTGATGCTGTGCCACCCTGCACAATGCACATCTTCCTTTTCTGGCCAATTATAGTTGATTACAGAAAGATAAAAGGCTCTTGAACTTACCTGCCAGCAAAGAAGCAATAATGAAACCCATCTGTCTCCTGCCTGTTTATAGAGGGAATAACGCACGGCCCCAGCACGGCCATCAGAAGAGCGTGCTTATGGGATTACATGTATTTGTACCTAACCCAGCCCCGTATTTCTAGAAATGGCGTCAGGCATCAAGATTTTTTTTTTTAATGGCATTGTTAGCTTGAGAATAAAAACTTCATATTTGCCCTGTTTTGAAAAATAATTAAAAAAAATAGAGAGAGTAAGGACATTTTTGCCATTTAACAAGAATATCAGTTAATGAGAAATCATGAGCTGGTTTTAAAATCTGTACAGCTGTTATCTGGAAACTTCTAGGATTTGTGGTCTATTTCTGATGTTATGCAGGCCCAAGGTGAAGCAGAAATATCTTCATGGAAATGTACTGTTACCATTGTGGTTAGAGTCAGACTTTCATTCAGCATTTTGAAAATTATGGAAGCAGCGTGATTTGATTAAACCTAACTATTACAAAGTAGCTTCCCTCCCCCAGTAAATTTGGAACTTCTAAAATTTGCTAAAAGCCCCAGATATTTTCAAATAGCTTGAAATGGATGGTTGTCTTTTCTGCAAGTAAGTGTATGTGATGGATAAGTCCTGACATTCAGAGAACTGAACACAACTCCAGGTCCCATTGATTTTTATTTTATTTTTTTTAATGGAAATGAAAGTTAATTTAATTCCATGCTAAAAATGGGATCGCAAACAAAGAAAAAAGCCAAAGAGGAAAAATTTTGGAAGTTTCAGTGGGCCTTTTAAAATGCCTAATTAAATTAATATTAGTTAATGCTTTCCCAGGCAAACATACAAAATATTAGAAAATTAATAATTTTAAAATCAGAACTAAAGAAAATAATTCTGTTTAAATCTTCTTGCTACTTTGGGAAGCCAGTTATCTATTTAAAGTGAAGTTATGCTTCAGTGGAAAGCTGGATTACTTCATTATACTGCTTATGTTATTGTAGGTGGTAGAAATGATAAAGACAGAAGTGAAAACAAACAACTTGAAGCGAGGCATTTGAAAGACCCAGCAGAGACTGAAAATCACCGTACTGGGAGTGTGGAGAAAGAACAAAGTCAGGCAGAAGAGGAATCTAAAGAGTACATGAAAGGAAGTGATGAGGAGAAACTTGCTCAAGAGGAAGGCAAAAGCAAGGAAGAGGAGGATGGACACCACACACCTATTCAAGAAGAGAGACTTCATATGGGAGAACAGAAAGACTATCAGGAAATTGGAAGAGAGGAGAAGAGCTACCACAGTAAAGAAGACAGCAAAGAGAGTAAGCATCGTGACAAAGAGGTAGAGAATGCTGTTCTCAAAAAGAAGTCCTATTCTGGAGGTATGAGCACAGAGCAATTCCCTGATGGGAGTGATCAGCGCCCTGTGGGCCACTGGCACTCGGAGGAGGGAATACAGAGCCCTTTCAAAAGAATTCGTGAAGGTGAAAAGGGAGAGATGGAGGAAGAAATAAGTCAAAAATACCATCATGAATCTAAGGAACGTGATTTCTCCCATCAGCAAGAGCCTGAAGAATCTGATGAAAGTGAAGAAGCAGAGGGGGAAAAGCAACCCAATAAACCCAAACATCATCATGGGAAGCATAGAATGGGTGACTTCTCTGAAGAGAACGGCGGCCGTGATGGTCCGAAAGAGGAAGTAGCTGAGGAATCAAACACAGAGGAGGCCCATCTCTGGGACAGAAGGAACCACCGTCAGAAACAGCATGAAGCATCTGAACAGCAGCGTGAGGAGAAGAGTGGTTATCATGGGAGGCATGGGTCTGAGGAGCTGGAGAGGAGGCATGCAGACCAGGGAATTGAGGAGTACAGAGAAAGGTGGCAGCAGAGTGAAGAGAGCAGTGAAGAGGAAAACAACGGGCATCACCACAGTGAGGAAAGTAATGAGAAATGGCATGGGGAGAAGAGACACCATGATGGATCCCATGAGTTGAAGAGACACCATTCTGAGGGAAGGACACATCTTGGAGATGAAAGTGAGGAAGAGCTGGACAGGTATCATCTCAGTGGTAGCAGCAAGGAGAAGCAACATCGTGCTGGAGGGACATACCACTTGTGGGACAATGAAGATGACGAGTCACAGAAAGCATATGTTCGAGAGCGCAGAAAACAGGCCAGAAAACCCTACAGCACTGAGGAAAGTGTAGAACAGCAGCGCCACCCTGGCAACAGTGAGGAGGACGAAATAGAAATGAAGCGTAGCAGAAGTGATCAGATGGAAAATGAAGAGGAGAATATGGAGGAGGGAAGATATGCTGAGAGACAAGAATACAGAAGCCATCTCCCTGCAGAGAGTAAGAGAACCACGGCATCCTACAGGCCCTTCTACCCACTGCTGTGGCAGAAAAGACAGCATTTTGAGAAAAGGGACAGCACAGGAGAGCAGGTTCTGGAGGGCAAAGAGGACAGCAGGCCCACCCCAAATGAGGAGAGTCTTTTCCCTGAATATAATGACTATGACTGGTGGAACAAAAACCAGATCGTAAGTGCTCTGAACCATGGGCGCACCGAGAAGAGGAATCTTGGCCAAATGAACAGATACGATATGAAGAGGCAATACAACAAGATGGATCAACTTGTACAACTTCTGAATTACAGGAGGAAGTCAGCTGAATTCCCAGAGTTGTACAGTTCTGGAAAAGACCTAAAAAAGAGCCACGTAATGAGGAATGACAGAAGAAGTCTGAGTCAGAGGCCTCTGACAGAAGAGGAGGTATGTATACAGGTGTTTCTCTGCAAAGGTGGGGGAAGCTGACTTTACAAGCATATTCATAATATGTTTCCCAGGCAGCTGGTAAACTGTGCATGGAAAAAAATTAAATCACAATGAGTGCCAGATCTTCAGTGGATTAAAAATCTGCTGTCTCTGTAAAGATTCAGTGGAAATAACCGAGGGCACAGTTTGTAAAATAAAGACAATGTGTATCCTCACCAGCTTCTATCTGCTGCAAGATTAGGTAGAGAAAGATTTTCTTCATTTTTGGGCCCTACCTCTCCCTCTAGGGTCTTACAGACTAATAAAACAAGGATGCCCATTGCATCAGGAGCAGAGAGGTAATTAGTAAGCACCACTTGGTCTGTTGGGTTGTTTAAAATGTACAGCTGAAAAATAAGTTGGACCTCTGGAGGGAAATTCACCTGTAACTACAGAGCAGAACATGGCTTGCACGTGTAAGCCCGATTCATGCTGTGTGCTTCCCCTGTATGGGAATCCTTTACTTGTTGGACTTCCTGTTCTGCTTTGGTGTCTAGGACTAAAAATGTCTACATACATCAGCTAGATGCTTCTCCTGTATGGAACTGTTACCTATTGCACAGAGCTGGGCTGGGAGCAGTGAAGGTTTAATATGAATATATGGAACGGTTAAAGTGTTAAGTCGTCATAGTAAACAAGAATTGACTGCGTAAGTGTGGTTTTTTTCCCCCTAGCATCTGGTACTGTGGAGGTGTCCTCTCGCTGCACACTGTTCTTGCTGTGTGTCATAAGCCTGAACCATTGTCATCTATGCTGTAGGGACGGTCACCTGGGCAGAAGTGACTGCACGCTGCAGGGGGTGGCAGCAGTGGCTGCAGGAGGTCACTACTAGATGATGGTGCTTTAAAGTTAAAAGGATCAAGCTGTAGTTAGAGGCAACCCTCACAATGAGTCTTTTGATACTTTCCCCCTCCCTAATTTGGTTAAAAGCAGGAGATGGCACAAATCTCCAAAGTTTGTACTGTGGTGCTGCTAACCCTGCCCACAGCAGCCTGCTCAGGGACCAGTAAGGAGCAGATGCCTGCCTCTGAAATGGTCTTTATGCCTCATTTTCATGGAACAAAACCACTTTCCAGCATTATTTGATATGTAAAATGCTGTTTATGTTTTCACAGGAAAATGAACTGGAAAATCTGGCCGCTATGGATTTGGAGCTGCAGAAAATAGCTGAGAAGTTTAATGACAACAGGAGAGGCTGAAGGTGATCGGCTTTGGCATTTCAAAGCTGGGGTAGCTCTACTCACAATACCTGTAGTTTGTGGTAAATTCACTGCCACCGGATTGTTGTTTGCCCTAAACCCAGGAAATACTAGTTACTGTCCTCTGTAGTGTAGTGATTTATACAGCTGAAAATGTCTTTAATTTGCTATTATGCTATTGAGATCTAAATGGCATGAATTTTAGTATCACAACTCTTCATGCAAGGCAAATATTTTTAATATGCTTATGAAAATAATTGTGTTGGTGTTCTTCAGAAATATATTTGAGTTTGAAATAATAAAAATTATTGATCTTGGACCAAACTTTCTCCTTGCTTATATGACTGTTTTGGTTATTTCAAAGTAACTTCAAAGACTCGGAAATGTCCTGTGAGTTACTTAGTTCTGGAAATTGGTCATTAAAGGAGCAAAGAGGTTGCAACACCAAATGGATGCTTGGTAATTTGGAAACGGGGTGCTTCAGAATCAATGCATTATACAGTGGATTGGTTTTGCCACTTAATTCAGAGTAAGTAGTCCCATTAAATTAATCACCTACCATGCTGTGCTACCATGTTCTTTCTGCCTTTCTCGGCAGCCGGTGACCTGGGGGCAGGATGGGCTCGGTGTAATAAACAGTGCGCTGCCTTCTTAGATGAGGAAGTGGAGGATGAGGAGCCATTTGGTAATCTTGCAACACCAGGAAGCATTAAAAGAGAAGATCCCATAATTAGTTTCAATTATTTGAAGCGTCTGCAGTTCAATTTAATTGTAACTTATCCGAATATATTTTTTTACAGACACTGCTGTGACAGTGTCTTCGGTTGCCGGTATAACACCCTGCACAGGAGCGGTGCCTCACAAACAATTCAGCTGAGTCACACTGTCAGTAACTGCAGTAGCTGTCATGTCCATGTAGCTCGTTCAATCCACCTGCTCATTAAACCACACACTCTCTCAGGTAACTGTAAGGCAATATGAACGGGAAATACTCCGTGCACTACTGATCCTTGAACTGTGTGAGCACGTCTATGCCTTGGGATTTTGGTAACACCACTCGAAGGGTTTTGTCTGGTTTGGTTAAGCTACGTGAAGATTGAATCCTGGCTCAAAGTTGACGGAATTTTGACTTTGGTAGGACTGTGGTTTCACCACACTTTTCTCGCAACACTAAGGAAAGTTAGAAAGTGTCCCAGCTGCAGAAATACTGTTGTTTGCTGTCTCCAAATTCTGAGTCTCCCTTCTAAAATTTACAATACTGTACAGTAAGTATTATAGCATGGTTCTTTTTCCCCTCAGCTGGTATGAGAGAAAGCATGTCTGAGAGTATATAAATACCTAGAAGCAAATAGCTTTAGTTGTAGTACAGCAAACTTTCTGAATTGTTCAAGCTTGCAACTGCAATAACAACTTATTGTTTGTTTTTTAAAAAAACTAAGCTTATGCAATTATGCATTCATGAATCATCAATGTTTTCTTAAAAAAAAAAAAAGTATCTCTTTAAAGACTTCAGATATCATTCAGTGGGTTCCAAGACCTTTTTGACAGTTCTTTTATTTGTCATCAAACTTTCTGAATTGTTCAAGCTTGCAACTGCAATAACAACTTATTGTTTGTTTTTTAAAAAAACTAAGCTTATGGAATTATGCATTCATGAATCATCAATGTTTTCTTAAAAAAAAAAAAAAGTATCTCTTTAAAGACTTCAGATATCATTCACTGGTTTCCAAGACCTTTTTGACAGTTCTTTTGTCATCTTTGTTTTCCTTGTGTTGCTCTGTGGGGCTGATGCCACCGGCACTGAGAGGCAAGGCTCTGTTGTGACTGCTCCTGTGTGTTCCATTTTTAGCTACACATTTGCATTGCCTGTTCTTTTTTTTTTAACAGCTCTCCAATACAATTTACATCAATTTGCATTATTTAAATGCAAACTGCGTGCTTCTGGCATTGAAACTTGGTCGTACAATTTAGAACAAGTATTGGTGTATTAAATGAAGCAGAAATGGTGGGGGTTTTTGTCTTCTGAAAAAGTGTTGTCTCTCTTCTGGCTCATGCACCCCTTGCTAATGATAAATGTGATGCACATGAGATGAACACCGGAATGGAAAGCTTGGTAACTACGTATTTCTCCTAATCTGCTATTTTCATCAGATTTCCAGTGAGGGCAGTTGTACGTTCTGCTCCGTGACTGAAGATGGGAATAAGAGCAAGTGATGTGAAGTGCCGCAGTACTTTTACCTCAGCACAGTTGTGCTACGGTGACTGTAACCACTGTGGAGACAGGGCTGATGAGCGCTTGTGCCGTGACGTAACGCGCTCTCCAGCGACAGCCCTTCACGCAGCCTGCGTGCTGGAACCCGGCTTTTCAGACTGCCCGGCTGAACCAAGCCCCTCGGTTCTTCACAGTGTGGCTCCTGCAGAACTCGGCCTGAATGTCAATCCTGCCTTAAGGAATCCACCTCTGGTTTAATATCCACTGCCTTTCCCTATTCCTTACGTACATGTCAGTGACCAAAATGAAATCACGCCACTTTGCTGGTTTATACTTCTAGAGACAGAAATCTTTGGATAGCCTGCCTTGAGGCTCTCATGATTACCAGGTTCCTGAGCTATGCTTTATGGAGACCAAATGCAGGTACGCAAGCATTGCCTTCATTTTCCTCAAATCCCCCCCCTTTTTTTTTTTTTTAAGAGATGCCTTTCATTACATCATTTCTTTTCAGCTTACGGTAAGATCTTGTGGGATGCAGTCTCTTTTTTTTTTTTTCCTGTACTTTCCCTAATGTGTTACTTGTAAAAAGATAAAGGCTCCCTAGAGTTTCAGACAGTCATAACTTGCATTTCAACAACGCTTCACTCCTTAAAGAATTCTTGCTTTCTTACTATTTTTCATTGGTATAAGTATGGGGAATTTAGAATTTGGATTTGGCTAGTGTTACTGCTGGTGAAATGAAGACAGTTTGGTTTTGATCCAAAGTAATTTCTCAAAACTGATCCTTTTATTATGCAAATAAAGCAGATTTTCCCCCAGGTTATTTTTAGAACATTACGTATGATTAAGAAGTAGGATGTAAGACATAGGTTAAGCAACTCACGTGACTCACTGTGTAAGTTTTAACACCTTTGTAGGGCTCTAAGTGACAGTTGTGTACCTGTCTGCCCAATGGAAGTAACAGAAGTACCTAAGCCTGTTTTTCAGGTAAGAAAAATGAAGCAAAAGATAATTTGTTTGTTATTAATGTCCTGGCTTGCACTGATTCAGTAATTTTCTTGCCGTTCCTTAGTTCCCAGGCACCTATCGACTGCTACGAGCTAGATTGTCTCCGAATTTCATCACATACTGGGTGTTCGCTGCTTTCAAAATCATTTACCTTCACATGTAGACCTGCACATGTAGACATAAAGTAAAAGAAAACTCTTCTCTCTCTCCTCCTTTGCCCCACTAACTCTAGAAAGTAGTCGAGAAATACAGGTTCTTCTTTTTTTTTTTAAATACTAAAAAATGACATCTCACATTTCAATTTACTTATGTGTGATTTGCAACAATTACACTGTAACAGAAAAGGTAAGGGAGGCAAAGTGCATTTTTCGGATCGACATGGTCAGTGCAATATAGAGGAGATGATGAAATCTACAACCTGTCCATTTATGGACTTTTCACATAAGAGAAGAAAAGCTTTCCATAAAAAATAGGAAAAAAAAAAAAGGGAAGTGTAGGAAAAGATAAAACAGAGGTAGACAAAAACCTGAAGCTATGTTGTACCTGTTCACGTAAGAGAAATCTTTAACTGCTTCTTTATGCAAAATATAACCTGTTTCGTTTTGAGCTAATCATGTCCTAAAGGAGCATTACTGTTACCAATACACAGAAATGTACGGCTTTATGAAGTCTGATTACTTTATCCCATGGCTCCAGGTTTCCCCCTTGATGAGCACGTTCAGGAATAGAAGCCAAGTCCTGCTGGATCTACGAGCTCCCATATGGGCCTAAAGCTTCCCACTGTGAGCTCCATGGGGTGCAACCAGCAAGGCTATTCTCCTAAAGCCTCTGCTGTACATTTTTACTTCCACAAAGAGGGAAAAGAAACAGGAAAGAAACCTCATTAGGAAAACCATCCTGCAGTTTAATTGAAAAGGCAAATGCAAAGTTAAAAAAATAAAAAAGCTACACATCATGAAAGATAAAACAGAATAAATATATATATACACACACATATAGTGGTTCTCAAAATAGTTGTATCTTAAAATCATGTAACAACTTTCAGGAGGACAACAGGCAATACCATGAGACATTTCAATATCTGGCATTTTAATTTACAAGCACGCACTTTCTCTTCTGTGTTTATTCCAGGAAAACATGGGGTCATGCTGTAAAGTTCTGGTATTAGGATTGTCTTTTTACTGTTCCTTTGGAAAGAAAGGTGTATGATTTTTGCTGTTTATTCTCTTTCCTTAAATTACTTAACACAGCTGGGTTCTGTCTCCAAAGGGGGAGCAGATGACTGTACAATGTTTTACCCTGCTGCTCTTCTGAGAAAGGGGCAAGCTAAGTTAGATGTGTTGATTCAGACTGAAACCTTTTAAAAAACTACTTCATCATAACCACTGCCGGCAACAAATTGAATGCCTTCACTGATGTTTTATTTTCTCTCCATCTTTTTTTTTTTTTCTTTTGAAGTTAATTGTGTTTTGAGTGTGGTGTTTGCTTCCAAGTCTTTTTCTTCTGGTTCTGGTCATATAAACTGGTAAAGAGTGAGACAAGCCTCCCTATCATGCAGTTCTGCTGCTTTTTGCTGGCAAGTATATGACAGGTGCAATTTCTGTGCTGTCAAGAGCACAGAAACTATTATTGTTATTTTACTAACGGCAAAACTCCCGAGATCTAAAGAAAAGTCAATTCTTCAAATGTTAACAGTGAACATCTTGAACTTTGCATCTTTTACATACAGGCTCTTCCATCTTCAGTGCTTCTGAATTACTGGAATCGGATTTGCCCTTATCCAGGACAACAGTTATACCCGATAGAAGGTACCCTCCACCTCCGCTCATTGTCAGTTTTGGATGGCTTCGATCTGGTAAGACCTTTAAAAAAAAAAACGCCAAAAAACACAAACAAAACCCCAAACATCTGTAAAAAGTCACTCTATTTGTGCATACCAAATTGTGTCATTTAAGCTTACAGTATAAGATTTTTTTTTTTCTCCCCAGCCACTACAACAAAGAGCTACTTGGAAAGTGTATCTTTTAAAGGGCAAAGCATCTGCATAGCAGAAACCAGTTACAGAAATACCTAAGAATACAGGCTACTGCCTTACTGCCATTTCCAGCAAATTTATCATGTCAAGGTTTGGGATGCAGGACAGTCTCATTAAAGTGTTCAGAACTAGTCCAGAGGGCTGTGGGCAAGGACCAAGTCAGTCAAATGCAGGAACCTCTTCCGAGGTGGTGAGTTGCTCAGAGATCAGACATTCTTAAGCTTTTGCTTCTTCACAGTTGAGAGGGTACTCCACATTTACAAACATCTTGTTCAAATAAAGGTAGAACTGACATTTTTCACTGCAGAGATGTTTTCCCCCGCTCTCATTTTTCAGTTCCCATCCTGGAAACTTCTTGTTACGTTAGTTCCACGAGACATGCTATTTAAAGACACTGTGTTTTTAAGTCACCACATCTCCCTTACGTGACATTAGACTGCCCCTCACTTTAGCCACTAAAGCAGCACAACTATTAAATCTGTCAGTGTGCTACAAATATTTCGTCAAATATTTATATGAAATGCTCTGGAAGAAGAAAATAAGGTATTTCCATTTGAAATTGTTGCAGTGAAGCATGAGAATTTTTCAGAGTATTTTCCCACTGTTCTGAGGTAAAACAAATGCATGAGCTTAAACAGTTTCAGTCAGTTCAAAACCAGCGTATTTTCAGAGAATGGTTTGCTCCCCGGCAT